AACGGCTCTCAGTGAGGCTCCAGTTCGATCTTCTTAGTAAAGATCCGTTCAGAAGAACCGGATCGTTCCTGAATGTCACATCACTATATTGCATACTTTTGGACACAGTGTTGTCCCATATATGGGACACGTTATTTAACATCTCCGCACAATCATTAACCACAGTGAATAACCTTTTTCTTTTCATCACAATGCTTATGTGTCTCTGTACAGCTAGCTTTGCTAACATCACGTCATCGGAGCTTACCTTCTTTGAGCTACTTTTCTAAGTGACGGAAAAGTAAGACGTTGTCCCCACCATCTGTGAAAGCGAAGCGCTGCTGAGTTAGCTGTGGCCATCGGATTTCTTATGATTTATGGAGCGCTATTATATTACTGACTGTTAGACAGACATCTTCTGCCGCTCAGAGGAAACCACTGCGCATGTCTGAGAGAGCGAGTGAAAGGAGGGGAGTAACAGAAACACATGATTGGTAAGTCACGTTCTTGGTTGGATTTTAATCGGTGCGTTTTGCATCCACTGAAAACAAAGATGTTAACAAATAAACTGAACAGAAAGCTGTAAGCTCAGTGATATTTTCACAGTTGCGGTCTTGAATGTTCTTGAAATAAAATGCCGAGTCCTCAGCGCCCGAGACCGAGACCATCAACAAATGATCTCGAGATCAAGATGAGTCCTACAACACTGTCCTCAGTCAGTTATATAATGTCAGTTATATAATGTTAGTTATATAATGCCCCACCACGTTGATAGGCCACCCTATAACTCCGCCTTTATAATATCCACTTCAGCTTGTATGGTCTTTGAGCTGTTAGCAATTTCGGAACGGACCGCTTGCAGTTTGGATCTTATAGCTTAAAAATCTTCCGTTAGTGCGCCTTTAAGTTCGTCTCTTATCACTTTAGCGATTTCTCCTCTCAGTGACAATGAAACGTTTGCTTTAATTCCTTCGTTACTCATGTTTGGACCTTCAGGCCCAGTGGTTGTCGGTGGGTCCGCGTCGCCTGAGTATCGTGGGCCTAGCAGGCCTTACAGCTTCCCTATCTATACTTTTGCAGTCTTTTGGCCATTCAGGATGATTTTGTTCAGGTTGTCCAGCTGTTTATGACCCTAAGGTCATTTTTTGCAGGAGGTCTGAAAACTATGTCTTACGCCACATCTTGCTCACCAGCGCCCCCTGCAATCATATGTTTTGATTGTTTAAAGTGATTCCATTGATCTTTTTCCACTAAATGTTGATTTCATTAAATTTGCAGCTTTATTTGTGTCTGTTTTTTGTACATTTTAACCCCCAGGTTTGATAAATTACATTGCGTGTCCAGATGGTCTTTGCCCGGCTCTCTATCAAATTTTAGAACCCATTCTGGCCTGCAAGTCAAAAGGTTTGCCCAGCCCTGCTCTACTGGTAGACAAAGCGCCGTTTCTGCTCCACCCACAGTGAACACTCACACCGAACGGCTGCTTAAAGCTGCAGCACGTAACTTAAAAAAAGAAAGATTTTACATATGTGTTAAAACTTTCACTATGTAATAACATGAGATGGAAAATCTTCTCAAGTCCTGAGTCTGCTGGAGAGGCAGGAAATGTTGGACTCTGGCTTTGAATGAAATGACGGACCTGAAAATATCTGAATAGATCGGTTTTTGTAAGTGATATTGGCAAAAATACCATCTATATAAAAATGGTCACATGTAGCCAAACCATTCCTCCTCCACAGAGCGAAGGTGCGGTCCATCCTGGCAGCAGGGAAAAGGTGATTATTACAAATAGGCCTATATGTAGAAAATTATTTTAGATTAAAATGTTGTCTGAATTGTATCCATATCCTAAGAGAGGAAGATACTTCAGGGTTAGAGGTGAATGTCGAGGGTAATCCAGCAGTAACCAAAGCAGGAAGTGAGGTAGATGTGCAGGAATTTGCTTCAGTTTTACACCAATCCAGTTGTGGACTATGAATATATGACTTTTTGAATATTAGATGCCCAGTAATAGTTTCTCATAAAGCCTTCATCTCTAGGCCTTTCTAAAAATTCTCAGCGAATTCTAGCGTTTTATTTGCCCAGAGAAAAGGAGAGAATAATTTATTTAAAGACTGGAAAAAAAGATTTATATAGGAATATTGGGAGACACTGAAACAGATACAAAAAACGAGGTAATACATTCATTTTTATACAGCTAATTCTACCTGGAAGAGATAAACAGAGACCGGACCATCTCTGAAAATCAGCCTCCAATTTAAGCAAGAGAGGTTTGAAGTTCTTTTCATAGAGATCGGACAAAGCGTGGGTGATGTGTATGCCTAAATGCTTAAATCCAGACTTTGATATATGGAAGGGGAGCGCATTGTCTGGTAGCTGAAGGGCTAAATAATTAATTGGAAAGCATTCACTCTTAGAAAAGTTTAATTTGTAACCTGAGAAACTCCCAAAGTCATTCAGGATATTGACAATATTATGAATACATGACACTAGGTCAGAAATATACAAAAGTAAGTCGTCGGCGTATAAAGAGATTTTATGTTCGGTTTCGAACCTACGGATACCAAAGATATTGGGGGTTGTCCTAAATTTTATTGATAGAGGCTCAATAGCTAATGCAAATAAAAGTGGGCTAAGAGGGCAGCCCTGGTGTATGCCCCTTCAGAGAGAAAATAGATGGGAAGATATCGTATTTGTAATTACTGATGCTTTGGGTGATCAATATAATAAACGTATCCAGGTTATAAAATTTAAACCAAAGCCAAATTTTTCCAGTACAGTAAATAAATAACTAAATTCCACTCGGTCAAATGCTTTCTCCGCTTCCATAGAGGCAACTACTTCAGGAGTCTCCCCAGACGCAGGGGAATAAATGACATTTAAAAGTTTGTGAATATTTGTGAAGGACTGACAACCCTTTATAAAACCGGTTTGTTCTGCTGAGACGATGTTGGGTACAACATTCTCTAGCCTCGATGCTAGCAGTTTGGCTAAAACTTTAACATCAACATTAAGCAAAGACATAGGCCGGTACGAGCCACAATCATCTGGGTCCTTGCCTGGCTTTAAAAGAAGTGAAATGGAAGCCTCTGTTAGAGTTTGTGGTAAAAGGTTCTGATTAAACGTCTCAAGTAACGGGAGCAAGTTGGAGAGAAAACTTTTTATAAAACTCAATGCTATAGCCGTCTGGTCCAGGTGATTTGCCACTCTGCATTTTATGAATGGAGTCAGCAATCTTGTAGCTTTATGGCTTCTTCAAGACTGTCTTTGGCCACTAGCTACTTGTGGTATATCAATGTTATCAAAGCAGGTCATCATTTTTTATTTATCTTGCGGTGAAGAAGATGTGTACAGTTTGGAATAGAAATCTCTAAAGTTATTGTTTAACTCTGTTAGGTCTACAGTCAAGGATTGTGAAGTATTACGTATCTGGGTATTAGACGGGACGCTGATTTACATTTAAGCTGATAAGCCAAAGGACAGCCTGCTTTGTCTCCATGTTCATAATATTGTCCTTTTAACCAAAGTTGGTGTTTTTCTGTTATTTCTGTTGACAACAGGTAGGTCACATTGGGTGGTCAGTGTAACCCTTTCTTTATATAACTGAGGTATTGGGGTAGTAGAATATTGTTGGTCAATTTGTCTTATTGATTCCAGGAGTTCTTTTGCTTTTTGTTTTCTTTCCTTACTGCGTGAAATAGAATAAGAAATGATCTTCCCTCTTATAACTACCGTGTTTTCTGCACTATAAGGTGCACCGGATTATAAGGCGCACAGAATAGACACTACAGTAGAGGCTGGAGTTACGTTATGCACCCACTAGATGGAGCTGCACTAAAGGGAATATCAACCAAACAGTCCGACTCCGGTCGGTGAGGAGAGCCTTCCTGGGCCGGACGATGGCCACCCTTCTCCGTTCGCCCACAGCCTGTTGGTGGAGAACCTGGTGCTAAACGACCTGCAGACGACCCGATTCTAGACGGTCGGTAGGTAGATGGGTCAGTCAGACTTTATTAACAAACCAGCGTTCTGACAACTATCCCAGCATGCACCGCGCGCTTCTTCTACGGGCGAAAATGAAGTCAGTGGCTGCTTACCGTAGTTGCTAGACCTGTTGTGGCTCAATGTTGGTCCATATATAAGGGGCACTGAAGGTTTTTGAGGAAACTGAAGGTTTTTGGGTGCACCTTATAGTGCGGGAAATACGGAACTTTAAGTGTTTCCCACAATGTAGATGGGGATATGGAATCAGATCTGTTGAAGTATATAAACTCATCTATTTCTTTACCAATAATTCACAGAAGTGACTGTCTGATAGTAGGGATGTGTCTAATCTCCAAACTCTTGGTTGTGTGACATTTTGAGAGAACGAAATATCCAGGGAAACTGGTGCATGGTCAGATTTGACAATTGTATTATATTCAGTTCTCTTTGGAGAAGTGTCTTACCAATGAGGAAAAAATCAATGCGACTGTATGTGTGGTGAACATGTGAAAAATAGGAGAATTCCTTTTTGCGAGGGTTAAAGAACCTCCATGGATCAACCCAACCTGCGTTATCAGCAAACTCACCAAGAGCAAGTGACATTTTAGAGTGTGTCAAAGTTCTAGGGCTAGAACGGTCCACAGCTGGGTCCATAACTGTGTTAAAGTCACCTGATAGAATAAGACTATGTCTGTTTAAGTCTGAGAAAAGAGAGGTGAGTTTATGTATAAAGCTAACGTCATCCCAGTTTGGGGCATAAATACTAGCTAGAATTACTGGAGAGTTAAACAGCGACCCAGATGATATCACAAATCGTCCCTGGGGGTCAGAAATGGCCTGAGATGGTGTAAACAATATTTTTTTGTGGATCAAGATGGCTGCCCCTCGTGCCTTATTATTAAAGTTAGAATGGAAACTCTGTCCAATCCAGTTCCTCTAAGCCTGATATGATCTGCTATTTTCAAATGGGTTTCTTGTAAAATATTATTTCTGCGTTTAGCCTCTTTAAGTGAGAAAAAATCTTTGCTCTCTTGTTAGGCCCATTCATTCCTTTCACATTCCAGGTAAGAGTTACACCTATATCTGCCCTGACATTATCAATGTCGTGCAATATATGACATGTTAAGAAATGAAAAGCAGGTTGAGCACCCCCAAGCGTCTGTCGATAGCAAATAAAAAACCTAAATACTATGAGACAGCAGTATAAAGTCTCTGTTCAATAGAAACAAAAGAAACATTAACACTTTCATAAAAATAAATCTCCCTCTAACCCTAACAAAACATATCCCATCCCTGCCCCCAGAACATGGGCAGACTGCAGGTTCTCTTCTAACTCCTGAGCCGTCCGATACACCCTCTCCTTTCAACCTGCGAAGAGCCTATGGCCTTTTAACAGTGATGCCTTGTATTAGCGGAAACCATTTCGATATTAAAATTAAAGTGAAAAGCATGCAGTCAAGCAGACCGTTAATGGGCATTCAGTCACATTTAGTAAATAAGCAAAAGGGGAACAGAAAGAAGATACCCAAAATTCTCAAAACCAATTCGATTACCCAAAGTAGAGTTGGCAAAAGTTCAGAATCACATACATGTTAGAACGTCCTCCAAGCAGTAAGGTGGTTTCAGTGCATCAGATATGTGCGACCCGACCAATCCATGTCAGTCCTTCTGTCCAATCACCTGCTGATCGCAGTAAGCCCGTGCTTCCTCTGGCGTATTGAAGTCGAGAGATTTTAGCTGAGTAGCGCAAGTGAAATTTTATACCCCTGTTGTAGAGTGCTTGTTTAACGCCGTTGAATTCAGCACGCTTCCTCGACAGGGCAGCGCTGTAGTCAGGGTACAGCCTCAGTGTAGCGCCCAGGTAGGTTATTGTGTGCTGCCTTGCCCATTTCAGTAGCCGATCTTTCTCCTGGTGCCTTAGAAAGCACACCACAAACGGACGCGGAGGGTGGTTAGCAGCGCTGGGTTTTGCACCCACCCTGTGTGCTCGCTCCAGCACCGGGGCAGAGTCATTACTGCCGGTGAACTCCATTAGCACATTCGTCATGAAGTTAACAGTATTCCCCACACCTTCACTGCCTTCTGGAATATTTATAATCCTCAAGTTGTTGTGGCGTGACCTGTTTTCTAGATCCTCAATGTGATTCAAGAGTGCCACATTTTGGGCTTTTAGAGCCTCAACAGCAGATTCGGTTGCACAAATCTTAGAATTATCACCTGCGAGTGATTCTGAAGCGGTTAGGCGTTGTTGCATAGAGCCCACCGTTTCTGTCAGAGCACTCACCGAAGCTTGTAACGGCACCAGTGATTCTTGAATGAGGGTAGAGTTGTCTTCTTTTAAACTTTCTCGTTGCTTGGCTAATTCTTGCACTAGCTGGGTCATGGTTATTCCGTCACTTTTGGAAGGGCTAGCGTTGGAGCCCATAGTGGCTAGCTTACTAGCAATGGTGTTCCGCGTGGTCTTCGAGGTTTGTTTTTGATTGCAGGTAGCCATTATCAGGCCAAGGCCGCTCAACACCGTAACGCGCACAAGATACACCAATCCTGTGGTAAAGGTTTTAGGTTTGGTCACATAAGTTACAAGTTGGGTCGGAGCTCTTCACACTCGCTGCCTACTCCCTTCATGACCCAAACCAGAAGTCAAACATGCATTTCTTAGAATCCTGTATTTGTTTTCTAATATTCTTTCCTTGCTTTGGTTCCCAGTCTTGGGGTTTTATTTTTGGTTTTCAGAGCTTGAAGCTGTTAGTTTGTGGGGATGGCGTCTCCAGAGCCGCCGCCCCTCTCTGAGGATTGGGATTTGGGTCCAACCTGATCCGACGATCCCAGTTGAAACGGTTCTGTTGGTGATCTAGTTGGTCACAGTAATTTAATTTATGCTTCCAGAATGAATAAAGGAGTCGTGATATTTTTAAAAGAGGAGCGTTTTGAACCAGCTGATTGTCAGCGGGGTGTCAGTAGGTGGAGACCTGCAGGTGTCGCCCTCCACCCGGGGTATTGTCTTGATGTGCCGCCGTTGCTTTGTGGATGAGCTCCAACCACCGGCGACTCCTCTGCACCTCCGCTCACCTCAACCTGAGCTTCCTGATTTTTGTGCGGGCAAGAAGCCCGTTTATGTCCAACATCCCCACATTCAGAGCATTTCATACTCCCAGTACTCGCATAAACCATGTAAGATCCTTCTTCATATTTCACTCTGAAAGAAACTTCTAGCGTCTGTGTAGCAGTTTAAGAACATGAAAACCTGCCTCCTGAAAGACTGAACGTGTTTCAGTTTGTCATGTTTACATCCCAAACCAACAGTTTTAAAACCACTGGATCTCTTTCTGCTGAGGGCGGGGCGTTTCCTCAGTCAGCTGGATCTGATGCCGGGAGGGAAGCAGTGGTCTGAATAAACACCCTGGTCTGGAGGATGCTGGGAAAACTGGAACCGATGTTCCCAAGGACTCCTCAGATGGGAGCAATCTGGATATAGAAACAGATCAGACGGCTGGTTGTGGTGCTGCCGAGTGTCAGCAAATAAAGCAAAAGGTTCAAAGCGACTGAAAACTCAGAAATAAGATGATGATTAAAGTGCACTGGGTGACCTTCTCTCTACTGTCTCTGTCTGTCTTCCTTCTCTTTTTCACCTATATGAGTAACATCAGGGTGGGAACTTTAAATATCAATGGTGGGAGGGATCCACATAAAAAGATGGTTAGTTTAGAGACGATTAGGCAAAAGAAACTTGATGTTGTGTTTTTACCAGAGACGCAGACCATGGAAACGAGGTGGAGTGGGTTTGAGTTGGACCAGGTCATCTGCTGCTGTAGCAGTTTTATTCTCACCTGGTTTACTTGGATTTTCTTTGTTCAAGTAATATTAAATACAGATCGTATTGGCATTTTAATACGAAACTACTTAATGATATTTTCTTTTGTCAAAGTTTTAGTAACTTTTGGCAACTATGGAAAACAAAAAAATCAGAGTTTATGTCTCTAACTGAGTGGTGGGAGGTTGGAAAGGCTCAGATCAGAGTTTTGTCAACAATATACAAGTTATTCTACAGATAAAATTAAAAAAGTGATTCAGAATTTAGAAAATGAGATTAAAGAATTAGAAAATAACTTGTCAACTGATGCTAATAATCAACTTAAACTTAAGAAAGATCAGTTAAGTTGTTTTTTACATGAAAGAGCCAAAGGGGCTTTAGTTCGGTCCAGGTTTACTACGGTGAAGGACATGGATGCCTCGCCATCTTTCTTTTTTAATTTGGAGAGGAGTGTCAGCCGGGCGAAGCAGCTGGTTTGCCTCCGACTTCCTGATGGAGCGCTGACTGCTGATGCCAGCACTATGAAAGAACATGCTGTGGCCTTCTACAGTGATCTCTACAAGAAGCAGACCTGTAGCAGAAGCTCTATGGAGACTTTGCTGGATGATCTTCCTCAGCTTACCGCTGCAGATCGGGATGTTCTGGATGCTGGAGTTTCAATGGAAGAACTGACTGCTGCAGTTGGTCAGATGGTTTCTGGAAAGAGTCCAGGCTTAGATGGTTTACCTGCAGACTTCTACAAACATTTTTGGAGGCTGTTGGGAGAGGACTTATGGGAGGTGCTGCAGGAGTGCACTGTAACAGGCATCTTACCATCATCCTGTCGGCAAGCTGTTCTTTCCCTACTTCCAAAAAAAGGCGACTTGACTCTGTTGAAGAACTGGAGGCCGGTTTCTCTCCTGTGTGTGGACTACAAGTTATTTTCTAAAGTGCTTTCTAACAGGTTGAGGACTATTCTAGAACTTATCATACATAGAGATCAATCTTATTGTGTACCTGAAAGATCTATTAAGGACAATCTTTTTCTTTTAAGAGATTTGTTTGACATTTGTAAATTATATGAAATTGATGTTGGAATTATTTCTTTGGATCAGGAAAAAGCCTTTGATAGAGTCGATCATTGTTTTCTTTTTTCTACATTAAGAGCATTTGGATTTGGTGAAGGTATTATTTCTTTATTGAGTTTATTATATAATGAAGTGTTTTGTGTTGTTAAAGTTGGGGGAGGATTAAGTCGTCCTGTTAAAGTTCAAAGAGGTGTTAAACCAGGCTGTCCCATATCTGGGCAGTTGGACTCTATTGTAGTTGAGCCTTTTTTACTTAAAGTTCGCTCCACCCTCACTGGCCTTGTTCTTCCAGGTTTGCCTCATAATTGTAAAGTCTCTGCTTATGCTGACGACATTAACATTTTTATTAAGAACCAGAATGACGTTATGGGTCTTCAGCATTGTTTAGAGCTTTATGAAAAAGCTCCTTCAGCTAAAGTTAACTGGGAGAAAAGTTCTGCTTTAAAAGTTGGCCCGTGGAAAAATAGAAATCTCCCCGTATTGCCAGGAAATATTCACTGGGTCGATCAGGGCGTAAAATTTTTGGGGGTTCATTTGGGAACAGAAGCTGTTTTGAGAAAAAATTGGGAGGGTGTCATAGAGAGTGTGTGCCAGATTATCTAAATGGAAATGGTTGCTACCTCAGCTATCTTACAGGGGAAGAGTCTTGGTAGTTAATAACTTGGTTGCTTCGGCCCTCTGACTGTGTTGACGCCGCCATCCTCTCTTATACAACGTCTCCAAAGGACTCTAGTGGATTTTTTTCTGGTCTGGATGCCATTGGGTGAGAGCTGCTGCATTGTATCTACCTGTGGAGGAGGGAGGACAAGGACTTATTGACATCATGTCGCGGATCGCGGCTTTCAGGCTTCAAACTCTGCAGAAGCTGTTATATGGAGTTGGACTGCCATGTTGGATACGGCGCGTCTTCTGCTAAGGAAAGCAGGTCGTATGGGATTTGATAAACATCTCTTTCTGCTGAGACAAGGATCTTTGGATTTGACTGGTCACCCCGTTCTACCAATCTGTGCTAAACGCTTGGAAGATTCTCACCTTTGAGAGAGAGACTGAGGCAACACCTGGAATGTGGGTTTTTGAAGAGCCTCTGTTTGAAAACAGTTTCCTCTCATCACAGCTCCTCTCATCTGGTACGCTAAGGTCTAGGATGAGGGAAGCAGGCTGTGTGAAGCTGGGTCACCTGATGAAGCTGCCCAGTCTGATGGAGAGTCTGCACATACGGTCCAACAGACTCGCATTAAGGCTGAAAGAAGAAACGTGTGCCTCTCTGCCAGTTTCCATCAGAGCGTTTGCTGTTAACAGTACTCTGTCTGACCAATGGGATGATGAATACGTGTTTCCTTCCCTGATCGTCTCTCCTGCAGTGGATCAGTGGCAGGATGAGCCAGAGAAGTTGTTGTCTCTCCAAGCGACACCTTTGGGTTGTTTTGAAGGCCTGGGGAGGAAAGGTTTGTACCATGTCTGTGTGAAAGTGCTGAATCTACGCTCTCTGGCAGAAGTGAGGGTGTCGAAGTGGCTTGAGTTTTTTGACTC